TGCACAATTGACAAGTATGTGGATTTTTGAGCCGAATTCTTGTTCAGCTTTGTCAAAGAGTTGTTTGACCTGATCCGGATCTGAAACATCTGCTTTGATAGCAACTGCTGTGGGATGAGAAGGGGGAGCTGATGCATTCAGTTCAGACACCAGTTGATCGGCTGTGCTTGAACTTGAAGCATAATTGACAACAACTCTAGCACCAAGGGAATGGAGGTGAGTGGCAATGGCACGGCCTATGCCACGGGAAGCTCCTGTTACTATGGCTACACGACCGTTGAGTGGAAGGGAAGAGGATGAGGATTCCATACTGCTGTTCTTTTATTAGAAGAGAGGAAGCGTTGGAATTGTGAGAAGGAGGACCTTTGCGAGCGTTTTTGATCTGGATGGGCAACAACAAACAACGATATTTATAGTGCTTTTTCCTTATGGGAAGAACAATAATACGAGAAAAGAAAACATTAGAACATCAAGATAGTAAAATGACAGTAGATAAATAATAATTATATAATAAATTTAATAAAATTAAAATTTATATTATATTTTATATATTAATTGTTATTGAGTCAGAATATTATTTTTTTTGTTAATAATAATATTTATAATTGAAAAAGGAAAAGATGAAGTCATAAGATTAAGCGATCTCCGTCACTCTTAGAATGTCACTCTTAGAATGTCACCCTCATTCCCCAAGGTAACGGTTTAATCTAATTCTATAATAAAAATGTTCAAAAAAAATTGTAAAAAAAAAAAGAGAACTTTAGAAAAGAGGTTGGTAATTTGAGGCAAAAATTTACATTTAACCTCTCATCTTATTAAGTTTAAAAGTTTTAATCCTTCATTTTATATTATGATATTTTTAACCTCTCACCTTACTAGATTTATAGATTTTAATCCCTTACTTATTAAAATCAAACAAAATAGCTCTCACTTTATATTGATTGTTAACTTTATTAGTTAAAAGTAGATTTTTGTTAACTAACAGCCAATTAATAATCAATTAATAGAATTAACAAAATATTATAAAATTAGTTCTGTTAACTCTGTTAGTTGAAAGAAAATTTTTGTACACAAACAGTCAACTAACAATTAATTAATAGAATTAATCGTCAACTTACAGAATAAACAAAATGTTACAAAGTGAGAGTTATTTTTTTTAATTTTAATAAGTGAGAAACTAAAAGTGTTATAATATAAAATAAATAATTAAAACTTATAAATTTAATAATGTGAAAGATTAAAAATATTATAATATTAAATGAAAGCTAAAAATTTTAAACTGAGAAGGTGGAGGTTTAAAAGTCGGTTTTGACCGATCATTTGAAGTGGAGGAACCGATAAAAGGCTTTGAGATAAGAAATTAGTAAATGATAATACCAGAATTCCTCTAGGTTGACTACCAAGGAGATTGCCTGACAGATGTCCAAAATCAAGATAAAAAATACAATATTTTCATTAGAGAGTGAGAGACATGGCCTAGGTCAGCAGTGACGTTTGAAGTTTGTACAAACATTTTTTATGGTTTCCTATCAAATGGGGTTTGGTTCTGGCGTCACCCTATACCTGTTAAGGCCATACACCTTTTTCAATAAAAAAATATATTATGAATAATAATTGATAATTAATAAAATAATTAATATTTATTTTTTATTTTAAAATAATAAATATTTTTTAATTTAAAATTTGTTTTAAATTAATATTTATCTTTTTATATGCAAGTTAATTATAAAAATTTATTTTAATATTATTAATACATAAATAATTTTAGTTAGTTAATTAATTAATTTAAAATTAATATTTATCTTTTTTTATGCAAGTTAATTATAAAAAAATACATTAATTATATCCCTTAATATATACTTTAAGAACGTATGCTAGAAAAATCTTAAAAGAAATTGACAAATTAAAATATTAGATTCTATTTAATTTAGTTGTTGTAAATCAACTAAAATTTATTATTTTACAATTTAAAATTAACTTATAAAGAAATATTTTTAAATATTTAAACCATTTTTATTAAGAAAAAAAATTATAAGCGGAATAAATTAATCAAACCGAACACCATCCTTATACTTCAACTATGGTTTTGCCCTTAGATTAACCGTTGGAGGGCTACATTACAACTATGGTTTAGGTTGGTTCTCTAACCCAAACAAAAATTGTTTGTTATAGGTAGGGGTGGATAGGAATATCAGTTGTTTGAAAATATTTTAGGTTAAATGTCAATTTTGATCCCTCAACTTTAAGGTTTCACATAATTTTCACCCCATAACTTTTTTTTGCACTTTTTTTCTTTCTTAACTATGCAAAATGTATTTTTTTAGTCATTCCATCAGTTAATTCATTAAGTCTATCTAAATTCATGCATTTTTAGTCCCTCAACTTCTAATATATGCATATATTTCTTCCCTTAACTTTAAGTTGAAGAACTAAAAATATGCAAATTTAGATAAATTTAACAAATTAACTGATAGAAGAATAAAAAAAGTGCACTTTTCATAGTTAAAGAACCAAAAAAAGCACAAAAAAAGTTAAGGGATGAAAATTATGTAAAGTCTTAAGTTGAGAGACCAAAATTAGTATTTAACCAATATTTTACTTGTTTAGGTAAGTATTATATCTAAACTATAAAAAAAAGAAGAAGAAGTAAATAATGGATATGAAAATGACATTTGTAAGTATTATGTCAAGTAACAAATATAAAAATTCAAAATTGTTTACCTAACCTTTTTAATTGACTTGTTATCTGTATTTATATAATTCAAATTTTAAATATATTTATTATACTTAATATTTATATAATAATAATTTTTAAAAATAAAAATAATAAAATAAAATAAGATTTGTAAGTCAAACACTCACACTTACAATAATAATAACTCATTAAATAATAAATTGTAAACTAAATATATAGTACACGTAACAATAATAATTCATATAAATTAAATGGTTTTGGATAAAAATTAAAAGGAAAACATGATTATAATTATAGTCAACCTTTCATGTTTATACAATTTTTGTATGCTTTAGTTGTATGGTGGAGACGTGCTGAAAGTTGCATGACGTTAGTTGATGGTATCTCTGACCTGCTTTCTTCTTTCGCAAGTTGATCCTAATTTGTAAGTATGCAGTTGACTGAGTTTTTATTGGTAAAGTCCACAATAGATATAAATTAGTGTACTAGTCTTTTATATGTTAGGAAATTAATATTTTAATATTTAATAATTATAAAAAAAAAATACAAGAAAAACGAATTGTGCATAGCACAACTTTGGAATCTAATATTTTTAAAGAGATTTATCCATCCTCATCTATAGAGTATAGGTTAAATATGTATTAAAAATATTTTTTCATCATAAATTTATATTGAAAAGATAAAAATTAACCTTTAATTTATCAATTGTTTAATTAAATTCACTTAACATTAAAATTAATATCAACTTTTATATTTTTCTATGTACATTTATAATAAAAAGATGCAATAAATACATCTTTAAGGCACAAGATAGAAAAACTCTTTTTAAATTATGTATATGTAAAGTTATTATGTTGAAATATTAATCAAAGCCAAACTCGGCATAAATCCATAAAATGCCTTTTAATTGACTAACTTTGAAGGAGTTTATCCCTAAACTTATAAGTGCAAGATTTATAACCTTAAACTTAAAAGTATAAGGATTTATACCCTCAAGTTAACAGACATTAAGTCTCAGGTAAAAGAAAAACTAAGTAATAACAAAGTTAGTCCTCAAAGAATACAAAAGCAATAAGTAAATCCCTATAAATTGTAATGGGAGATATAACCTCGTATACAAGAACTATAATAAACATTTGTAATCAAATTGAGCAAGTGGTTCATTCCAAAGAAGAAATTCTAGCTGAAATCAAAGAAAATCTTTTAATTGAGTTAAGGCAAAGAATCCAAGAAAATAAGAGAGTAAACTTAATAATACAACTATATAATAGATAGATTAGATTTAGAAAACAAAGAATCAATATATTAAGAGAAATTGTAGAATTATTGAAATCAACATGAATAAGGAACAAATAAATTGAATTAACATGTATCTACTTAATA